GTATTCCCAGCGTGCGGGGACAAAAGGGCTTCGAATATACGGGGTACATAGTCAAATACTCCATTATCTTTGGCTGGGGTTAGGAAATTTGGACAACACATCACCCCGAAGCCCCGACACGAGCATTGCTAATCAGTTCCGCCGATGCTTGGCTGCCAACCGCCTTGCTACTATTAGTCGGGAAAGCTCATCGCCGACTCTGGCCAGCCCAATGAAAGTGCACCACGTCTTTTGCCACACCACCACACTTACCCCACGTCACTGGCCAACTCACTTCAAAGAGCAGTGTTAACCAAAGCTCATAATTGGTCTAGTGTCTCTGATCACAGAGCCTGATATCTATCAACAACTCAAAAGAGATTCTGCGCTTCTTGCCTCTGAAGTGGCAACTACGACACCGTATCTGCCATCATTCGCCAGTAAAGGGTATCAGAGATGACTATAACAATATGTCGCGGTCATCCGGTCACGCAGCTCTCCCAGAACACAGGCTTTGTGCAAAGCTCAGTTCGCATACATGAGATCGCCAGTGTTTGGCTATACATAATGTATTGTACCCTAGACTACGCGTGGGCGACAATCATGGGATGTTCTTGGTGTGCTCCGTACGACCTCCGAACAAACGGACGACTGGCGAAATCTGCTCGTGAATCAACCTGAGGCGCAGGAAGCACCAATTTGCACCAGTCGGCTCGGCCCTCATTCATGCGTGGAAGCCGGTCCGCCAGACGGGGCCTGGGCTGTTCTCTTACTCCCGTCTGTCTGTGGGGAACAAGCAGTCTGGTCCATCATAGCGCCTCATCCACCTGAAATATCCGAATTATCGACCTGCAGACACACAAAGCGGGAACAACCATGATGGGCCCTCACGGCAAAACGACAGCTATCTCCGTCCTCTGGCCTGCCTGTTGGACATCAGGAGTCAGGCATCACCGCAGGCTCTCTCCCTTTTTGTTTTCACCCCTTGGTCAATGTTTTCCCGTATTTGCCAGGGCACATCATCTAAGGGTCAGGGAACGCATCACAAGGCTTTTAAAGACCCAAAAACTTATTGCATCTCAGAGGCTACCGACAAAATCTTGATATATCAGACTATGCACCAAAAAAAAAACCCCCCGATTTTTTACATAGGTTGATATGCAGCTTCCGTCCGGGACAACACAGCGCTGTGCAAGAGACGTCGGAAAGCGGTGTCTATTGTAGCGGCCCAAGCCTTTGTTCGTTGAACCAGACCTTGTTAAACATGGAGAGAGTCCAATGAGAAATGAACAAAATTCGGCACAACATCGCTCACCGCTCATAATTCTAGTTCTCTTCTAAGGGCATCGTGCACACTACATTCCATATAGAAAGAAATTGTAACTATGCATAGTTTCAACGCTTCCTTGACGCTCGAAAGAAGAAGGGGGAAAAACACTCGTCGCCTCCATTTCTCTCCCTTCCATGTCCATCAAAACTGGTTGTACTCCGTACATACGCCAGGTAACTCAAGGCCTGCCGATTATCCACCGTTTCTGATCCCACACCCCTTTGGGTCCACCTGGTAGCACGGGGCTGGTCAGATCTCAAAGCTTACGTACAGCGGTTTTTCATCTAGACGTGCCGTCCGGCTGATCTTTCCCCGGCCTGTGCAACATTTACCTTTGTACTGCCGCGAGGTTGTAATGTCTCTTGCACGGGTAGTGGTTGGTTTGTTGATACAGAAAGGGGCTGACGACAGGGCTGACGAGCCAGGACCGCCATAATCCCCGTAACAGTACGGAGTAACTACCTAGGTACTCAGCGGAGGACCTGTTCGCGCTCATCACCAACTGTTGTGAGATGAGTGGTGGTCCACAAATGGGACGTCGAATGAATTCCGATGCCACAAACGATGCCCCCATTGTTGAATTGGGTAGATCTGATGGAAGTTATATTGGCTGGCCCATGGCGAGTGCATTAGCTCTCCCGTCCACGAGCATAAAAGAGTGACTAGGATTCCCATCGACCCGCTCGTTGATGCTGACCGTTCTGTGCGATGTGGGCGTGGGAAAAAGGTGCTACTCTATTTACTCCGTACGTGGAGCAGTGTGCAGTGAAACGATGCAAGGCTTCATGTACAAATGTACGTGGTATGTCAGTCTTCTGCACTCCAGACCCCAAACGGCTGTACAGCGTACTGTTTTCCGTATTACACATGCGGGCAAGGAAGGCCCCGCTAGCTCGTCGAAGCCAGGGTGCGGCTGGGAGGGACAGGCCATGTGAATGTGCTCAACGCTAATAATGGCGAAGCGAGGCGATGGCTTTGCTTACTCCGTGTCCTTGGCTTCAAATTGCTTCCAACCGGCAAAGCCACCAGCCATACGGAGTACAGTTATGGGGGAGGGGCACGATGAACGGTAACAAGGCATTTTGTCTAGGCTTCAGCATACAAACGACAGACGGGTTGGAAAGGTGTTGTTTCTTATCAAACCAACGAATACTACCTAGAGTTCAGGTGCCTTCAGGACAGCCACGACGTAAGCAGCTATTGGCTCTCGGCAATATGAACGCCGATTGGCATTGCTCTGCAACAATCTTCGATTGCATGGGATCCGGGGTCAAGAGCCTGGTGGATACGTAATGGGAAATTAACGAGCTACGGCAAGTGCGGACTATTGTACATATGGGCTCATATTAGTTGACTGCGAGTATGATGCGCATATGTACTCCGTATGTATGTGAATAGTCCTTCGCCAGTCATGGGGGCTTGACCACTGGACTCAGCCGAGTCACCGACTTGGGCTGTTGGTGGGTGCAATGTATTTGCAAGCAGGCATCAAACGAGATGAACCAGATCGGGCAATGAAGTTGCTTATACGAAGTAGGGTACTACGCGCCTTGATGCCGATATCAAAACGCCGCAAGAACCAGGGTTCAAAAAATGGACAACGACCAGCATTGTACATTGTTGGCGAGGCTGCAAATAATAGCAGTATATAACTAACTCCCTCATCCGTGAGTGGCCCTGTGAAGCTGGACGGGACGCTTCGCAGAACCGTCTGGACAGCCGCGGAGCTAAACAAAGAAACAAACAAACAACATAACATGAGGGTTTCTTGGGGGAAATATGGTGGCTGGACCCAGGCCTCCAAAACGATGGAAAGTTGGGTGTTGTGAAGGCAATTCGTTGGATGAGAAAGGCTCAAGTGGGAGATTGAGTGACATACCTTCTGACCATCTTACTGATTTCGTCCATCCGAGGCAACTCCTTTCCATTTCACTACTTGTACTGCTGACGTGTGGTAGAGAAGTACAGAGACATCAGGACCCTAATTCCTCGCAATGACATGAGTGGAGTTGCAAGGCACGGGCTGGGCGGCTCAATGGCCTTGTTTCATGGACAAACCCGAGAGGCTGGAGTTCCAATTCGGGGAAAGTCGACATCGCTCAATCAACAGAAAGAAGATGCTTGGCTGGCTTTTCCATCAGCAAGAAAACAGCATAATGCAAGCTGTCAGCCGGCAATCACGCTCCGGATACGTCAAAGTGCTCCTGGAGGGGAAACAGTAAATCAATTGATGCAAAAAAAATAAAGCACAAGCAGGGTCAGGCATCTTCCGGCGTATGTACAGACAATGTGCGTCGAGATCATGCACGAGATTGTCTGGCAAGTAGTTTCCCAGCCATGTCAGTTCATGTACGAGCAGAGACGGGAGCATTTACCACCATGTTCCACTCTCCAAGTCGACGGAGAGGAGACGCCGGACACAAGATCCCAGTTGCGATCTGGGTGTACGTACATATGTATTATGTACGGAGTACATGATGTTTGGGGTGCGTGGGCGGGCTGCGGATCACGTTTGCAGACCGCTGCATTTTTGCATTCAACATTTTGCCATTCGTTCCCTTCTCTTCAGCCACTAGGTAAAGCAGACCCTGGCACTTCTTTGGGGGGGGTGAAAGACGAGGATTCTATTGACGAGGAAGCCAGACGGGGGAGGGGCGGTAACAAGAGGTGGAGGACAGAAAAGGCTGGGCGGGTTTTTTTTCCCGTGTGATCGAAGGCAAAATGGAGATGAACGGACTTTGACCTTGGCCCCAGCCGGGGGGGCCCTTGACGAACGGGACGCTTTGCTGCTTGCTGCTTGCTGAGTGGTGGGTATCAGGGCCCTGGACCTGTTGGCCTGTCGGGTGTGGTTCTTTGCCCTTGAGGCGGAACGGAGCAAAAAAGGATTCTTCTGCTAGGTGGTGACGGCTGAAGATAGTGGTGGTTGGTCGAGAGTCCGGTGTGGATGGGAAAGATGGAGTTTGATGGAGCAGACGGAGGAACAAAGAGGAGGGGAGGAGCTAAGGGTGAAACGGCGCCGGGACTTGACGAATTCGGCGACCCCAATTGACAGAAGTACGAGCCATACAATATACAGGGAGGGCTCCGTATGTACATACACACATTGCGCCGAGGCGCGTGGGTGGATGCGGGAATGCCACGTCAAAGGCGAGATGTCCATTTTTGCATCACGCGGCCATTGCGGCACGTCGTGAGCTAGGCCGCGGCTCTCAATTGCGCTTTGCAGTTCCAAGCCCATGCCGGCATCGGCCGAGTTGTCATTGCTGTTATTTAGAATTGGTTCACAAAAGGCCCTTTGACGGAATGGAAAAAAAAAAATGACAAGAAGGGGAGGAAAAAAAAAATTTTCATTTTGAGCTTTGATAATGGGTCGTGTAAGTCTGTGGAGCCCATGTGACCTCCACTCACCGCATCTCATTGCATCGTGAACGTCATGAAACAAACAAGACGCCAAAAAAGAACACCTCACATCACGCAAGACCGCGGCAAGATTGTACTCCCTACTCTACAGAAGCCAGTCAAAACCCCTCCCACACGACAAGCAACCGAAAAAAAAACAACCCGCCCCGGTGTCCATCCCACACCGTCCCGTCACAAAGCTTGAAAGCCCATGCCCACGCTGTAGGGTACCCTCCGTCACGAGCATCGAAAAAAACAACAACATGAAGACGCAAAACAAGTAACCGCAACAATGCCCAAGCCACCACCCCCCTCGCTCCCCAAGGCCGCGCTCCCCCGCAACACGGCGTTCGACCCGTGGAACTCGTCGTCGACGGGCCACCAGCGCCCCGAGCAGCAGCCCGGCACGGCATGGCGCGCCTCCCGCACCGGCAAACTCAACTCGCAATTCCAGTCCGGGCCTGCCGGCGGGCCCCGGACGCAGGACACCGGGGGCCCGGGGGCACGAGGCCGCGCCAGCGTCGCCGACATGCTCAAGACGCCCGGCCTGATGAGCCAGTCTCTCGGCGCGGCAAGGCGGCCGTCGGAAAAGGACGACGCCGCTGCCGTCACTGGTGCTGCCCCCCGGGGTATTTTCGCCGGGTGCGTCGTCTACGTCAACGGGAGCACGTATCCCCTCGTGTCGGACCACAGGCTGAAGCACGTGCTGTGCGAGAACGGCGCGCAGATGAGCCTGCACCTGGGCAGGAGGAGAGTCACGCATGTCATATTGGGGACGCCGGCTGGCGGCGCGGTCAAGGGCGCCGGCGGCGGCTTGGCCGGCGGCAAGATGGAGAGGGAGATGAGGAGGGTTGGCGGCGTAGGGGTGCGCTTTGTAGGGGTCGAGTGGTGAGTCTGTCTTTTTGTCCGTCCCCTCGCCCCGTCGTATGATTTCAACGCTGTTTCGGTGTTTTCCTCCGTCTTGTTCGGCTGTGGTAACAGGGGGCCAGGTTTGCTAACGGCTGCTACAGGGTCCTGGAGAGTCTAAAGGCGGGCAAGAGGTTGCCAGAGGCGCGGTTTTCCAATGTCAAGTGTGCGGCCAAGGGGCAGGGGAGTGTATACGGGTTGTCTTGCGGGAATGGCGTTGCCGGGGGGAGGTTTTCGTGATTTATTCGGCCGGTAGAGAGTACTACGGGGGACCATGGTTGGCCAAGCTATGCGTCGTCTTTTTTCTTCTTCCTTTATCATGAGGTATGCGAGACTGTGGCGTTGAAGGCATCGCTTCGCAGGCGTTGCGGCTAGAGTGGTTAGGGCAGTGTGCAGAACACGAATACCAGACTTTTTGTTTTCAATCAAAGGTTGCCTTTTTTTTTTTGGTGCTGTTGCAAATGGCTTGGCGCAGCCTTGTTGATTCCCCGTGATGCCCCTGCACGAAGAAGCTCTTTTACTCCTTTCTGGCCATGTTTTACGTGTGCTAACAACGTCTAGTATTGGAGAACATGCTCCTTGAATCAGAGAATTCCCAGGCCCCCGGGGCCGTCATGCCGTAGCTCACGACGTAAACGAACATTCCCACCCCCTTTCCTCAGCACCTACCAGTCTTTACCCAGAGACTCCAAGACACGTAGCACCTTCTCACCGCCAAATCTACCCATCATCGTGCAACCAGTGAATACGAAGAAGCAAAAAGCGTCTCCTTCGCTCGTCGTCATCTCCAGACCGCTTGATATGTCGCCATCCCCCAGGGTCCGCGTGCGCGAACCAAAACTCAATAAAACGTCGCCATTTTCACATTCATGCGTTACCGTCGTGGCCCCGCGTTTGGATGGGGTAATAGTCCTGTGTCCAGAGCATAGGGAGTATGTGAGGGAACTGTCTCACAAAGGTGCTGTGTCTGTTGGACCTTGTGGAAAGGGTCGTACTGATGGCGTTGTGTGAGGACGTTGGGGGTGGTGGAACGTGGATGGCATTCGATGGGATAAAAACAAAACAGAATAGATGGCTGTAAATACTTTGATGAGGATTAAACGTCTAATTTGATCATCAAAGTTGAGCTCACTGGTTATCTAACCTCTTGGTCAGGTTCTGGAAAATTGATGTCATGCATTGTGTGTAGTTTCTTATCAAAAAGAGGAATCTAGGAGTAGATGATCAAGAGCATCCAAAGGAAAAGGACGCCACTCCGCAAGAGGGGCCCAATATGAACACTGAATATATGCTCAACTCAAACACATTCGACACGCTTATAGCTTCGACTTCAGTCCTTCAACAGCCGCATGTTTCCCATCACTCCTCTCAAAATACTCACGTACTTTTGCCCTCGCCACCTCCACGACCGACGAATCCTCAACAGTACTCGGTACCATTACCTTCTTGTCAAACTCGCCATGCACGCCATTCTCTACTAATTCGCGTAGGACTCGTCGCAGAGTCTTACCGGAGCGAGTCTTAGGAATCATACCTTTGCCCTGAATGATTCCTCCGAGCGACGCAATGGCTCCCACTTGTTTTCGTACCAAGGCTTGAATCTCAGAAGCAACCTTTTCGTCGGGCACTGCTGATGCAGGATGGTCGGCCGTTGAAAGAGTGATGAACGCAAAAGGTAGCTGACCCTTGATAGCATCTGGGATTCCAACAACGCTGGCCTCGGCAACGAGAGGGTGAGACGTGATTGCTTGCTCAATGCCGCCTATGTAAATATGTCAGCATATCGAGAAGCTTAAGCGGCCGTCACAATTCGCAGGTCTTGTAGGTGTGGCGGATAAATGGGCTTACCACTCGACAGTCGATGTGCACTGACGTTTAACACATCGTCATTCCGGCTCATCACATGTACGTAGCCATCCTCGTCAATCATGCCAGCGTCTCCTGTATCCAGCCACTTGCCATCAAATCTCTTCAAGTAACTCTTATAAAATCTCTCCTCATCCTCCCACAATGTTCGAAACGCCGTGGGCGCCAACGGCATGCCCAAGACAATGTTGCCCATGCTACCCTTTTTAACCTGACGGCCCTCGTCATCAACAACACGGACATCGAACCCAGGCATCGCCTTTCCAGCACTTCCGGGCTTGATAGTGGCAGGTGGGTGGTTTCGGATTGACGAAGCTCGGTCCGTACCAGTGTGAGGAACCAAGGCACGGCCAGTTATGGGCGAACCAGATTCGCTGGACCACCAGTTGTCGATGACGTGTGCATCCGGAGCGCCGTACTTATTTAAAAGTTCTTGGTACATAGAAATGAGAGAAGGTTCTGAGCGCTCGCCTGCTAAGAACAATGATTTCAGGCTGCGGAGACCCCCTCGACCACCGATGGTGGACAAGAACTTGTTTTCGGGGTCATCCCTCCTGATAGCTCGAAGGGCAGTAGGTGCCGTGAACATCATGTTGACCCCGTACTCTTCCACAACCCTCCAAAACGCCGAGGCATCCGGTGTGCCGACGGGTTTGCCCTCATAGAGAACCGTAGACGCACCAGCTAACAATGGCGCGTACACAATGTATGAGTGGCCAACAACCCATCCAATATCGGATGCTGTAAAAGCAACGTCCCCCGGCCCATGAATGTTGAAGAGATAACTTATCGAGAGGTTCAGCCCCACGGCGTGACCGGCAGCATCTCTCATGACACCTTTTGGCGCGCCAGTTGTACCAGACGTATGGATAATATAAACGGGGTCAGTGCTCGCAACAGGCACGCAGTCCGCCTTGATTTGCCTAGCGCGGGCACTTCTCACGACCTTTTGCCATGTAGCTTGACCGCGGTTGCGATCAGGATTCCACCTAAGCTGCGGCCGTTGCCAAATCAAGGTCCTCAGAGGCTTGTGCGGCGAAATCTTGATGGCTTCTTCCACTAGCGGCTGATACGCAATAGGCGGCTTATTTCCATCGATTCCGCATGATGCCGTTAGTATAGCAACAGGCTTGCATGCTTCAATGCGTTGTGCGAGAGCATTGGGGGCGAATCCGCCAAAGACGACGGCATGGACGGCACCGAGACGGTTAACTGCATACATGCCTATTAAAGCGGACGGAATCATGGGCACTGAGTGATTCAAGGGTTAGCAATTGGCCTGCCCAGTTCGCCTTGCCATCCATTTCTCGGTCCCAACTTACTATACAGCATGACAACATCTCCCCTCTTGACACCCTCGGATCGCAAGACACCGGCAAGAACTTCAACCTCGTCGAGCAACCTGCGATACGAGTATGTCTCCTTGGTCTTGGTAACGGGGCTGTCGTAATAGATGGCGACCTTATCGCCTCGACCGGCCTCCACGTGCCTATCAATACAGTTGTAGCATGTAGATATCTCGCCGCCGGGGAACCACTCCCAGGAATCGTGGGTTACGCTTCCATCTTTCAGAGCTCGCCGTGTGTGACGCAAGGTCTCGGTCGGCTTTTTATGCCAGTGCAAGTGTTCGGCTTGGTGAGCCCAGAATTCCTCCGGCTTGTCTAGACTGTGCCGCAGCACGTCGTCTTGCAGGTGTGAGCCTGCTTCCCTTGAGGCCATGGTATGGCTGTGTGTGCAAAGTTGAAGTGCAGGAGTAAAGCAATTGAAAATGAGGCTTCGGCAGTTATCAATTTATAGAGTTGGGTGCCATTTGGTTGGTTGCCGTTGTGTCAAGTCCACGACGGGTAGCAGTGCTGCGACCACCAGCGATGCAGAAATACTTTTATTCACAGGGTTCCGCCTCTCAGGTCTATTTATTGAGAATGGTTAGGGAGAAATCCAGGAACGCTCCTTCTTTAGCCCTCGGCTAAAGAGGCTGATCATCATGTTTCGTCCATCTTGCCGACGGCAGGAGCTCTAGCAGCTCCCAAGGGCTGGCTGGTGGGGTCTTGATCCCCGGAAACTTGCTGCCCCACTCTGGAGTCGCTGAAATTCCGCTTCTCCGGGGGACCAAAGGAGCCGAAGACATCGCGTTCCCGAAACTTCCACTCCCCCGCGGGACCGAGCACACTGTTATATCTATTCGAGCGGTTATACCTACAAGATAACCGGCGGAGTAATTCTTCTCAGACCAACCCCTGACGTTCCCCCCGGGGGGTGACAGACTACGCCCTATGAGAATATAGAGTAAAGTTGGACAAATGACAAAAAAAAAGGGTACCAACACCAAAAACAATGGCAACAACTATAGGGTAAGGGTAGCCTCAGCACCACAAACACGTTTGTCAACAGCAACGTAATCACGATCGCTTCTCCAACTGAATAAACCAATCCCCAAGTGCATATCGTGGATATCCCCGGGTGAACCAGCCGCAAAAGTACCAGGAGAATCCAAAATTGTAAATCGAACTTGAATGCAAACTTGCCCCTCCCATCTCAGAACAGCACCAACCGCCGTCCGAGGCAATAGGTATTTGCACACCACCATGTACGCGGCCCGAGGACAGCGGCGTTGAGTGACTTGATGCCTCCCACAGTAGCCATTGAACGTGAATGAAATGTGAAAAACCTCGCTTATTCGAACAAGCCACTGTTCTACCGAGTGTATACGAACCACTCTGCCCCCCAAGCCCGATCGATACACCCGTAGCACTTTGGCTCGTTCGTGCCACGCTGAAACGTGATCGGAAGCACGCCGTCACACAGTATCCATGCAGCATGTATCTCAGTGAACTGAATACTCGAAAAGTGTGCAGCGGCAGAAACGTCTACTTGGATATCAAGTCGGCAAGTCAAGCCTTGAATTCGGACCCCCTAAAACTCACTGAGCCAGAAATACGACGTACGCCAGTGACAAAACATATTGCAAGACAAACAAAGGAAGGCCAAGACAAGACAGTCACTGAAATGTGGGTAATAAAACATCGGGCCAAAGGTAGCCTCTTGACTTACAATCCTGAATCTAACGTACTTTACAGAAGAGCAAGCATAGCTTGACAAGGCTATACAACACGCCCGAGCAAGGGGGGGCCGTGCTCCGCGATAGTACGTAACATTGAGATACTGTACATGACAGAGCACAGCCAAAGAAAAGAGTCGACAGATCTATCAACTCGAGAAACAAGGAACATATGCCTCGGCGAATGGAAACGCGTCTTTATAAATGTTGTCAAATAGGTCCGACCGCCAAGGCTAAGTCGTATTAGATCCAAAATTCCTATTGGTGCTGATAGAGGCACGTTATCCAAGCGCCGAAAAGAGTTATTAAGACCGCACACAAGCCATTAATAGAGATTATTCTCCATGGGTTTGACCTGCGAGCCCCCATCGAACCATCAAGTTCTCCGGGTGTTGATATGTTCGTAACCCAAAAAAAAAGTCTATACACATCAGAAAAGCTGTAAATCCCATCCATTCAACATAAACCAACTACTCCCCGCACGACACCTCTCCAGCCTTGGAGCTGGGAAGGCTTTTGACCCGCTCCCACGAACCTCACATGCTCTCTTCTACAAAGCGTAGGTTGACATGGAGACGAGAGGCGTGATAGTTGAGTTGATTTACAGGACGAAAGCAGCAAGACCGACGACACCGGCCAGACCAGCGCCAGAGAGAGCGGCAGCCTTACCAGCACCGGCAGTAGGGACGGGGTTGCTGGGATTGCTGGGATTGCTGGGATTGCCGGGATTGCCAGGCTTGGTGGGAGTGACACCGCCAGTGGGTGAGGCAACGGTGGAGTTGGGGAAGTTGACGGGGGTGCTGACAGCGTTGCTAAGAAAACGTTAGATTTTCGTTGTGTTTTCATCTATAGGGTTGAGACGTACCAGGTGTGGCAGACAACAGCCGAGGTGGTGATGACAGGCTTGGTGATAGTGCAAGGGCAGTCAGTGATGGTCAAGGTGGTGGGCTATCATTTTGTTAGCTCTGAATCTTGACGTCTTGGTCATCAAGCAATGGGTTATGAACAGGCACTGAAGCGTCTTGCGTCCCAGGTCACGAGACATCAGATGCCTGCCTTTTCACCCTTCCCCATTCAAGCCAAGACTGCGTAGAGAGGCTCCTTACAGCAGTGATGGTGTAGGTCTGAGTGCCGTGAGTGATCTGAGTAGGCTCAGGGCAGTAAGTGGTGTACTTCTCAACGACCTCAGTGACGTAAGTGACGTTCTTGGCAAAGGCGTTGGCGCCAACGGCGGCGGCGATGAGAGCAGCAGTGTACTTCATTTTGTCGGTTGGAATAACTCGAAGAGTTGGCGTTATTTAACGAATGTAATTGACTGAAAAGTCGGGGTATGCAGATGTGCGAGTGAGCGAATGTGTGTGGGTGAGGAGAAAGAAGGCGGATCGGAAGAGGAGGAGGCCTGGAGAAGCATCTTTATACAGGGCAAGGTGAGGGCCACGAGATGGACCGTCGGGACTGGGGGCCGTGCACGAGCCGGTCTAGGCTGCAAAAATAGACAGGGGCCAGACGAAGAGGAAGACATGCAGGAGACGCGATTCTGTCTTGGTCGGTCGGTCGGCCAGTCTCGTCCTTGCGTGGCGGCGTGAGAAACGAGCTGCGAGGACCGACAGGGCCAGCAGCGAGCAAGGATCGGTGGGCAGAGGCAGAGAGGCAGGGGGAGGGTGTGTGTGGATAGATGAGGTGGATTCTGATGGGATAAATGAGGATCATTCATTGATCATGAGCCGATGGTGATTTGTGCCTGGGTGTCTCCGGGATCACGAATCGACCAGTGACAGCAGCGAAGACGATGGAAACCATTCAAGACAAAAGTTGACGCGAAATGTCAGCTTCCAAAGGTTGGGGACGAGGGAAATCGAGCTTGGAAATTTCTGACCTGAGCACAATCTCTGGTGAGATGCAAGGTACCAATACTATAGTGCCTTACTATGCAGCTCAGCCAAGTACCGACCGAGTAACTCCCTACTGTGTACTAGGTACTTCCCTGGCTGCCCAAGCTATTAGCGCGACGTCCGCCATGTTGATTTACCACGTCCACGCCGTGCATACGGTCAACTCGTCGTTCGTTCTGACCGGGCCTGATGGGCTCCAGGAGACTCGATTGCCAGCTCAAGTGGATACGATTTATCTTCGTGGCCAGTCGTTGCATTGCAATGTCAAGGTGCGCATCATGGTCCGCCATCAAAAAGTCGTCGATATAGCTTGCCAAGGTATCCATTCTAATCGAGTTTCTCACATCTAGCTGTCATGTAGCCGAAGCAACACAGCTCGTGCTCACTAGTAGAAAATACTGGGCCAATCTCGACAGTGGAATTATGGAGGGTCAAACGTCCTGACAGTGCTCCAGGCTCCAGTAATGCCTCGAAATTCGACTATGCTAGTTATTGCTGACATGCCAGTGAAACGGACAAGTCACGCATTCTCTCTACCTAATACATACGGAGTTCTATAGCACACCGTTCTACGGCAGATCCATGAGTAATACATGTCAGCAAGATGGAAAGATCGCCTCTCTCGACCCAGAGCACTGATAGCAACTCGGTAAGTAGGCATGCTAGGAAAGGGGCACTGGGCTAAACTCCGCGGGGGTATGACTGGGATTCGAGAGCGAGACCAAAGAACCAAGATCAAGTCCCACCGATTAAGGCTGCACTCCGAAAAGGCGGCCGAATAATACCAAAAAGGGAGAGGCTAGGAAAGGTCAAGCCTGGTCTTCCCAATCACTTGTTGACAGGGACAGGTACGCGGGCCGCCTTGCATATTTCCACCGAAATTGATTGTAGGGCTCTTCGCATCATCAAATTGAAGAAGAAAAACAAAAAAAACTGCACCAACAGGGGACAACCAACGAGGGAAGTGAAGAAAAGCAAAAACCTATTGTTAGACGTCTCCACATGGAGAACAAGCCTTCTTGGTAAAATGAGGGAGCCACTTTCGTCGAATACTACCAGGTAGGGGGCGTGAGAGACTCGTCGCCGTGACAATAAAAGAAAAAAAAAACAACAAGAAAAAATGCACAACATTTTTCAGCAAACACTTTTTCCGAGTCATATGTGATGTACAGCACTGCGTGCGGATCAGCCCCCAGGCAATAAGCAATTGGCTTCTCTGACTTCCAATAGTGTGCGGAGTATGGAGTTGTGCCTCAGACGTCTCCGCCAATCGACTTGTATTGGATCCATGCCTGGCTTCTGGGTCTTATCAGCTTGCCATCAGCTGGCCGCACCAATGGCACAGCTGGTATAATAGCTAATGCAAGGCGCAACAGCCGTGATGGAACAACCCTGAGGCCGTCCGCCCAACGCTAATGCAGGAACAAATATTTTTGAGCGGCGCTTAATCACCAGTTCAAAGCTGTCGTTTAGCCATTTTGTGCTATGACACTCAGGTACTTGTCGAGTAGGGAGTATTATCGAACCGGCCGTTTTGTGTCGTTCCCCCTAGCGGAAGGCCCCAAAATCTGCGATGTGACACAATAGAACAAGCAGGGGAGTCAGGCATATGTAAAATTAACGGGATTGGAGTCGGCCGGACTGGTTCTCCGGACAGGTTGCACGCGGACTGACTGGTTTGGGTCACAATAATTCTTTTCACGGATGGTCCTTGGCGAAGCTGACAGATGCCATTGAAGCTACTCAGTACGCCGGATTGCACAATCCTTTTGGGGTCAGTGGATACAATATTAACAAATTCCACTACAAGTCAACTGGTATGTACGGAGTACTGAGTTAACAACGTGCCACGACGCTCAGTCCTTGCCCAGACTGCTGTTTGTCGACTATTGGACAGCAAGAGCTGTGTAAAAGCAGCGAGTGCCCACCAGGGGCCAAGTCAGGCACCGCGCGTCTATTGGCTGAAACTTTTACTATCCCTTCTTAGTCATTCCAGACACGGCTAGACTGCCCCTGCTGCTTTGCCGTCTTTTGCACTACGGAGTACCTTGGCACCTCAACACGTTTCCAATCTCCTCCTTTTTGCAAGGCCTTGTTGTCAACAGAGATTCTTTGCTGCATCAACGCCCCCCCCGTTCATTGGCGGTTTGTTTTTCTCCATGACAAGAAACCCCCATTTCCATGGAGCTGGTTGGCCCTGTTCACCGGCCCATGCTGCCCGAGACCCTCTGCAATTTCCCAGATTATCCACCCAACTTGCCGTGGCCATGGCATGGGTGCCTTCCCCTTCTGGGCTTAATCTCGCTCACCTTGTCAGCTCGAAATGTTATGTACAACACGGAGTACTCCATGCTGAACCTGATGGCCATGCATTTTTGGCTAATAAGACAAGGAAAAAAAAAGGGTTATTCTGCAACAAGGATCTCTATCGTGCTACGGCGCACCAAGCATTACTGTCCTTCCGTCGGACTCATCCGCGTGGCCTTGTGCGCAGAAACCTCAAGTGACCATGAGGCAAGAATCGACAAGGCGTGCTGTTTGGCATGCAAGTTCCAGCCAGTTAGTCCATCATAATCTCGGCCGTTATACGGAGCGTGGTGTGACTGGGATGAGTAACATGAATGTCGTCAAGAATCGTCTTTTCAGCCATGCCCGTAATGCGAACAATCAGAAAGGTAGGCATCGAGACATCGAGACCGCCAAATCACACCGATCATTCTTCGACTTCGTACCGAAATGATTCCCCCATCCAAGCTTCCTGACCGTCGTTTCGATTGACCCCGGGTCATCATCTACGAGGAGCTCATTGCCACTTTTTTTAGCCGATAGTGAGCCCATGTTCCCCGTGGCGTGAAACTGCCTCCCTGTCCCGTCCACCGGAGAGATTGGCAAAATTAGCCTCTACGCGTCAGTCCAAGGACTTTCGCGCAATGTTCCGATTTTAAAAAAAAGTTTACATTTGGTACTTCCACGACGATCATTCCAATAAATGGGCTTTCGGAAAAAGGCTCCAGTCAATCGAATCTAGCCGAATACCCCGTCTTTTTGCTGATCGATCGGCGCCGAGCCCTTTTCTTTCTGCGCGTCTCAATTGTTCAGCTACTGTCCTTGATTGGTTTTAAAGTTCAATCATCTTATAAGTAAGTCTCTTTGGTTGACACAAGGCGCGTCTCAGGGATAATGGATGACGGGGTATTGTGCTGTAGAGGATGTCGTCAGCAGCATGCCCGAAACAAAAACATGGGCAAAAAAGAGGCTTTATCACCTCGTATTCACTTCACAAAACAGGCGAAATATTTGCTGTCCAAGCGTCTACTCCGTACTCCGTACATGCCGCGACATCTCGAGTCCGGCCAACAGCAAGAGAGGTATCTCCAAAGCCGGCTTCCGCGCCAGGTACGGGATCCAAGAAACCAAAGAATTGACCGAAGGCGGAAGCTTCTCCATTTGCGGACCATTAACAGGAAAAATACAAGGCATCCATGGCTTACCGATAGTGAAAGCCACAGCTGGGACCAACTGGGTCTTTGAATCTCAGAGACCGGATTGCGTGCTACTATTACCTATGATGTTGGATAAACCGAAATATTAGCTTGGCCACTTTGAGCAGTTGCCTCTCTGTCGATGACGCGTGTTGTCAAACACGCACGAGGCATTGATGGATGGCGCTCACAGTCGCGTGGCGATAGTTCTGCTAAAGCAAAAATGTCATAGTAACAACTGAGGGCCTCTTCTCCCTTACAGAGCCCGTAACAAGGGACCCCCGTCTTGGGTACTGTACAATCTCAAGCTGGAACGGCCAGTTTAAATGGAGAACTAATTCACACCACCCGGCCGTTCATTGCTCACTTACCTCGGTCCGGACTGCGAAGTCGTAAAATTGCAGCAAATATGCGTACATAGAAATCTCCTTTTACCGAGATACTAGTTACAACCCCGAATGCAAGGGACACGAGGCTCCCGGTGTATTATTGATTGATTGTGTTTATTATTGGCAGCACGCCGAGTTCTAGAAGCGCCCCATCATGAGGACACCTTTTCTTTGTCACACGTGGATTGAAGTTGCATAGAATCTGTTATTCATCATGACATCCAAGCTCTTTATGTGCATGCCCGGCTAATAGATCTTGACGCTTGCTTGTGGTGTTGCTTGATTTGTTAAGTCGGCCTTGGGCCTGGCCATCATTTCCCATGCAATGCGACGTATTCTGTTCCAATATACAACTGTAGCAGCGCATAATGATCAATGAGTTCAGACGATCCGTTCGGTACACGGTTGCAGGAAACGCATTGAGTTCCCCGCAGCTACCAGGACATGGGATGCCTTTCGACGATGCATTCCGAAACCGTTTGTTGGTTGATGCATCAAAGGCAACCTTTGCAGTGCCGCCGACTCGAAAACCTGCGGCACCACATGTGAAATTGAGACCTAAGCAGCGAGCTGCAATGCCACCAATGCGTTCTAGGTTTCCCAGGAACGTCGGATCGATTGCCAAGGACACAAACGGCGATCCCAAAAAGCCCATGTAAGAGCGACTGTCGAATAATGACAAGTGTCTTTAGTCCTAGATGATCAGGACTCACTCGACTCTGCTCAAAGCGAAGATGAAATAGTAGATACGAAAGGTTTGCACATTGAAAAGCGGACACATGGTTCGGCAATCGGATCGAGTTTGGCAGTATTAGTAATGCAGCCCGGTAGCAACGGACCTCCAAACACCTAAACGTGAGTATAAAAACATCATCATCATTGCAACCTCGGGGAAGAATAAAAAAAGCGCCGTGAGAATATAGCTGAGCACAACACGAGAGAACATTACAAAAGTAGTAATACAGCATGGCGACCATGAAAGCAGTCGGTTCGTCATCTTTTCCCGCACCAGTGCAAAAGCAATGAGAAAAAGCGCCATCCAAATATCTAATAACCACCAGACATCAAAGGCGGCAAAGGCGAACGCGATGCCCTCTTCATCAACGCGGAAACCCCCAAACCAACCGCCGGCACCGGCCAGGCCATTGTCAAGATCAAGGCATTCGGCATCAACCGCATGGACATCATCCAGCGGCGCGGCCTGTACCCGCTGCCGCCGCAGGCGCCCTCCACGCTGGGCGTCGAGTTCAGCGGCACCATCGAGTCGTTTGGCCCGGGGGACCACGGGAGCTTCAAGGCCGGCGACCAAGTGCTCGGCCTGGCCTACGGCGGCGCCTACGCCGAGTACATTGCCGTCAGCTCCAAGATGCTGCTCCACAAGCCGGGCCACATGAGCTTTGAGCAGGCGGCCGCCGTCCCCGAGACCTGGATCACCGCCACGCAGGCGCTGCACATGGTGCTGGGCTTCGCGAGGGGCAAGTCGATTCTGTGGCACGCCGGCGCGTCCGGGGTGTCCATCGCGGGCATCCAGCTGTCGAGGGCGTCTGGCGCGTCCGAGGTGTACGCCACGGCGGGATCCGACGACAAGTGCGCGTTTGTGACGAGGGAGATTGGTGCCACCGCGGCCTTCAACTACAAGACGACGGACTGGGTCCGGGAGATCAAGGACAGGACGGGCGGCAAGGGCGTCGACTACATTGTCGATTTCGTCGGGGCCGACTACTTCCAGAAGAACTTGGATGTCGCGGCGAGGGACGGCAGGATCGTCCTGCTGGGAACGTTGAGCGGTGGCAAGGTGCCCGATGCAGATATTTCGCAGATCCTGTACAAGAGGATCCGTATTGAGGGCAGTACGCTGCGCAGTCGGGATGAGGAGTATCAGGGTAAGCTGAGGGATCGGCTGGAGACGTACTGCCCCGAGTTTGCGTCCGGCAAGCTCAAGATCATCGTGGACAAGGTGATGCCGTGGGAGGAGATTCAGGAGGCGCACAAGTACATGGAGGATGCGAAGAACACGGGCAAGATTGTGTGCACTATTTCCTAAAAATGATTTATTCTTATCAATGGGAAATACGAATAGCTAAAAAAAAACACAAAAAAAAAGGTCAGATGGGCCTAAGACGACCAATTCTGAGGCGCTTGAGAAACAAAGAAGAGAGTCGTCTGGACCCAAACCACTCGTCGTCATTGACGCCAGCTAGTGTTCGTTTATCCATCTCAACATTTGCTGATATGCAGTTGTTTGTGCTTCGGTAATGGCACTATCTGCATATGCACCTACTACAGCAAAACCTAGGGACGAGTTAGCATGCATAATACCAAGTGTTTAATGGAAAGCAACAGGGGAAAAAAGAGCATACCATGTGGCACGCCAGGATAGACCTGCACCTCGTGCTCAAGATTTGCTTTGGACATGGCGTCCTCGCCCGCCTTCCGTACCTCATCTGGAAACAAGTTGTCGTTTTCAACACACACTAGACTGAGCGGTGCCTTCAAGTTATTGAAATCATCTGGCGTGACCGACGCACCATGCGCCAGAGCTCCAGCCTTGATATACGGGCCCTTCCTCTTCAACGCACCTGCCTCCTCATCGCTGCCCTGTTCTTCTGTCTCCTGAGCCAGCAGGAGGACAAATCGTCCACCAACACAGTACCCAACTGCGTATATTCCCTCACCATTCTTGATGGCGTCTGCGTACTGGTCTTGAGCTGCCTCAATGACCCTGCGCAGGATGGGCATGACCTTGTCCGGGGTGATTCGGGCCAGCCACATGTCAATAAAGAAGGACTTGACGACCCCGACGGCCTGGAGCTTAACCTGCTCGATGATGGAGGAGGAGTCGTCGGTGATGGCCGTGGATAATGGGACGCTGTCGCCAGCAAAGAGGTCCGGCATCAATACGAGGTAGCCTTCTGAGGCGAATTTGTCGGCTTGAATTTGATTGTTGACCGACTTGATTCCAGTGCCGCCGGTGAGAAGCAGGAGGAGCTTTGAGGGCGCATGGGGGTAGTCGGCTGGTTTGGAAATATAGACCTGGCAGGTGGTTAGAACGGTGTGTCTCGTGTTTGGTTGGTGTAGCTGGGAGCCTACGTCGATATCGTTCAGTTTGATAATCTCACCGGTTGACGACTGTCCACTAGCTAGAGACTGGGGTTAGCAGCGGCGTGTAAACGTTTCAACACGACGATGTACTCACGAGTTGGACGGTCAGTTACGCAATGCTCCCCGGTCTGACCTGGCGATTCTGCAGGTGTGATGGTCTCCGGCTTCTGCTCAGTCTGCCGCTCCTGAGCGTCGCTCTCGGGAGCTTTGGTGGCCATGTCGACTTCAGTCATGATGGGCTATTTGGGTATGCGAAGGGTGCAGCTACGGCGACTGTGGCACGGCGAAAGTATTGGATAATGAAGGCTTGTCGTCTATGAAGTTGACCACCACTTGGCATGTGGCAGGAAGTGGGCTGTGCCAAACAGGCTCGACGTCATCTTGAAAGTTTGGGGGAAGAGTCTCAGATGGTATGCTGGGTCAACAAGGTCACTTGACAGCTGCGAAAAAAATTCACATGTTATTAATCAGAGGCTGCACAAGATCAATTCACACAAGAGATAGCCAATATAAAAACCATAGCTACCAGAAGAAGGCAAGATAATAACTGTTCGGACTTGCGCCACCCGTTGAAGGGGGCCGTTGTAGCTTAGTCAGCACGCCGCCTGCACCCCGCCATTGACTCAAGTACTGTCACACTTTAGAGGGCACCAATTGTAACGATAATGTATATATACAAGTTCATGTCTAGCTATAAAAGAGAGAATCGTATGCGCCCTTTTTATAAGTGCGCTTATTATTAGAGTTATTTACTTATAGTTAAGAGTTTACTCTTATTTAATTATACGTATGTAATTTATATTTATAATAAGTAACTTATTTTAATATACCCCTTAATTAAGCCTATTATTAAGGCTATTATAAGCTCTCTTTTTCTTATTTAAATACTTAATTAAGCGTTAAAGCTATAATTATAAGCTTAATTATATATACTTTACCTTTTCTTAGTATTTTAATTAACGTAATCTTTTATTAATTAAAAGCTAACTTATTAACCTTTTATTTATTAAGGTAAGTTAAATATAAGCTATACGTTCTTATTAATTATACTTATTTTACTTTTATACGTATAACTTATTAGTATTATTAGCTTCTTTTTTCTTTATTATATATTACTTCTTTAATTATAATTATATTTTAATTATTATTATACTAGTTTAAAGGCGCGTGTTACCCTAAGGTTATTAAAGTATATAGAACGTATTAAATACCCCCTAGTAATAACTATTAGGCTCTTATTATTTACTTTTAAAGGCTTTTAGTATAAAGCTTTCTTCTTTTAATAAAATAATTAAAGTTATTCTTAAGTTACTTAATTACTTTAATAATAAATAATAAGAGATTAATAAAGCTTAATATATTAAACGTTAATTAATTATAGCTTTTTAGAAAGCTAAGAAACTATTAGTATTATATTTTATAAGCTATTAATATATTAATCAAATTTATTAACGTTTAATAT